GAACAAAAAATAAACAGGATACGGGTTTCTAACCTGAGGTTTTAACCCAACGAGAATAAACAAGAAGAAGTTGAGGAAGCCCGAGTCGTGTGTACACACACTCTCCTTAAAACCGATTCGCCGCCTCCCGAGGGTGCTAGGATCGTTGTGGCGTCAGTCTCCCAGGATAAAACGGACTACGACTTTGGCGTTCGAGCACTCCAACCCAAAGCCCGGCGAACTAGAACACAAGTTGAGCACTCCGATGTTTTATGGAATTATGTTGGCAAACAATTTCCTCTTTGAAACCAAGAATGAGAGTTGAGAGAAAAATAAAATGTTTTGAGACTTTTTAAAATCATGTGTGTAAACATTCTGCCAACATAACAAGCTTATATAGGAGAAGGGATTTAATAGCATCATCATGGCACATTAACCAACATAAATCCAAGATTTAATAATTGGATAATAACGTTTGAAACGGTCGTAATTATTATCGTAATAATTCCAACGGTCACGAACTTAATACGCGATTAATTCGTACCGACCACAACGACCCGTTTCAAAATATCTGAGTGACCGAGAAGTCCGTAAAAACCCGAAGGTTTAACGAATTGGGATTGGAAACCACACCCGAGTGGTCCACACGCACCGAAACGGTGCAGCACGAATCAATGCATATAGCATTGACTCGTGCTTAGCATGAAAGTAGCTCACGAAAGGAGCTCACAACTCCAACTTTCAGCATGAAACTAAAGCTTATAATTAAGCTTTCAATTTTGCATGCACTTTCGTCCAGCATGAAAGCATAGCACGAAAGGTGCTAAAAATCCCAATTCACTAATTAAGCAACCAAAGCTTAATTACACTTAAGCTCTACAACTTTCGTGCAGTGCAATGAAAGTTATTAAAATGCTTATTTCTAATTGGCATTTAAACTTAAATTTTTGACTTCTCTCCAAATAGGTTCACTTTGAGAATCAATTTCTCATTCACCTATTACCCATTTTGAGCGTACATTATATCAAATTCTTCGTCTCACTACGAAGAACCCGAATCCACTTTGACCCGACCCAAATTGGAAGTGGACCCACATATATTTGTACCACAAAATAATCACTCAAAATGCCATTTTTAGTTAAAAATTCCAACAGTTTATGTTGTTGATGCTTGTTACTTAGAGTTGAAATTACCAAAGTGTTATTTGCCTTGTGTGTTTTCGAAGAAAGTTGAAAAGTTAGAGAAGTCTATTCACCCCCCCTCTAGACTTCTCGCCACCCTTTCGGGACCAACACCCATAGGATCACAAGAGAATGTTCCAAATCATCAAATTTGATCTATAGATGTGGCTTGATTGCTTAACTAAGTTCTTGACTTCTTGTATGCACCACTTCGAAAATGTAACACCCCAGATTTTCAAGACTTTTTAAAACTTGTATCAAAGGTGGAATCTCATTAAATCTCAAGAAATAAATACAAGCGTACGGGGTGCTATGCCACACCTGGGCTAGAGAACCCAAGTGCACAGACTAACTAACTAATATCTTCAAAGCGTAATTACGTAAACGTGGCACGCAGGCCAAAAGGGGAAAACTATCTACTTCTATACTCCAAGTTCTAGCGCGCTCCAGTGACTTAATCTTTTGTGCCTGAAAGCCAAATATATCTGTTCAGCGAGAGATGCTGGTAACCCACTCCAACGCGTTGAAATACAATACATATAGAGATATATATAGATATACGAAAACCATTTTGAGCATGAAGATATATCCTACGAACTCTAGCTTTGAAAACCGGGAATGACTCGACAGATAAGGCCAGACACAAGCAACAGTTATAACGAGCATATGCAGTCCTCAACACATAAGGCAGATAAGGCAAGACATAAACAATGATCATAACCCAACATGAACAATCCCCAATATAAATCCCATAGTCACATCCCCCAAGACACTCGTAATCACAACTCATCCATGTCACAACACATAACACACTTTGTTAGCGCCACAGGACCAATCGCATGCCCATACATGAGGGTCAGCGCATATAGCTCTGACACGGCCCCGCAGCACCCTGCCCCGTATCGCAACACGGAGGGGTCGATCGCAACCGACCGATGAACCGCAGCTCATCATAGTGTTTGATCGCAACCAAACAGTGGACCGCAGCCCAAGAGAATGTCATCTGACCGCAGCCAGGAAAAAGGACGAACCGCAGCTCGTATAGAAACGTTTGATCGCAACCAAACGGTGGACCGCAGCCCAAGAGTATCAATCTGACCGCAGCCAGCTTCTGAACCGCAGCTCAGGATAACCAATCCGATCGCAACCGAATTGGGGTAACACACACACATAACACATAGCAAGCACATGCAACCCACATTACACATTAGGAAGGGGGAGAAAACGTATAACAAAACCTATGCGTGATCCATCACATACTAAGAATAGTCCTAAGGGGTTCATACTTCTACCACCTAGGTCAACGGGATACCAATTCAACTAGCACGCAATATAATAGACTCGTAAACCTACGAACGACACCCGAAATATCAAACTAGACATAGGCACGATGAACGGAGTCCGTTGGGACACTACGGGGATCGGGGGAACATCAAACGGGGATGCCGGGATCCCGAATTGGGGAAATTTCCAGCGGGTAGCCGGTGGGTGGGGGGCCACCCGCCGGCTGCCCGCCGGAATTACTGTTCCGGGCAGCGGGTCGCCGGCGGGCAGCTGCCCGCCCGCCGACTACCCGCTGCCGGGCGGTGTTTCACGGCCGTGGGTAGGTGGCGGGTCCCCTACCCCCCACTGACTCTTTTCACACACTTTACGCCCCGGGAACCGTTGTGGAACCCGAAACCATGCTTAGACACTTTCCAACGCAATTAACGACAACACGTAGACAATTAACGAATCAAATACAAGAAACGAACGGCACATAACCTATCATGCTTTTCTAAATATAATCAACACCCAAACATGCGATTTCCCCACCCGATAATCCAAGAGTAAGATCATACGATACAACCTAGGTTTCTAATCACTTTTATATCAACAAGAATACGGTTCGTCTTCTAATTGCAAGATTCGGTAAGAATAACACATAAACATCAAGAGCATCACACAATTATCAAGAACAACACATAATCATCAAGAACTCCATATAATCATCAAGAATCTCCCAATATCAAGATTATCAAGATCCCTCATGGGATCATCACGTCAAACATCAATAATCATCATCATATCTCGCCAATACACAATAATATGGGGGAAACCTAAGGGGAAATCATAGCTATGAAAATAGGTTTTGTTGAGACATGGGTTACCTCTTAGCCTTAATTAATTCCTTGGCTATGAAGGATCTTTCTTTAAGCTTCCTTGCTTTCTTGATTTCTCCTAAGGGGATTCTTGGAGCTCTTTTGGGGTGGTGGGGCGTTAATCTTGTGGGGAGTTCTAGGTGCCTCTTAAGTCCCCTATTTATATATTTAGGAGTCCTAATTAGGAACTAATATTATAGGCTTGCTAATTCTATTCCTTTTGGAACTAAGGATTGAGTTTAGGGGTTGGGTTTATATATGAGGGCCCATGGACTATGGTGGGCTTTTTTCCCTAATTAATCATTATAATTTATTCTTTCTCTTGGGCTATTGATTAATTAATTAAATGGTTTTAGGGGTCGTAACACGGGGTGTTACAGAAAATCTATATCAAATTGCAAAATGTAAGCCTAATCAAACTAATGGCGCATGACGATCTTTGTCTCGCTCTTCCATGAAGCATGTGATGACTGACCCTTCATCTTCTTATTCTTCTCCTTGTCTTTTATGGTCGACCCTTCTTTCTTCCCCGCCTCTGTATTTGCGTCTATAGCATGACGATCACCACACATGGGGCAAACTATTCCTCTCGAATGTGAGTATGTCTTAGGGATCCCACAACTGCCACAAGTCAAGCATATCCTATGTAACAATGTGTTAGATCAATAATGGAAATGTAAAAATAACTTTACAGTAGCAAGTTACCATTGCAAAAATATGCTCATTAGATGAATTTATCATTTCCAAACTGCAAGTTATCACTGCTACTTAGATCCACCAAGTCTTTTCATTATTATTCACCAACTTTGAATCTCCCATGACCCATGATTTCTCAAAGATAATTGCAAACAAACAGTCATCTAAAAAAAGGCATACTAAAGAATTCTAAATAGAGAAAATATTTGATGCACCGCCGATGTGTAGGTGCTAATGTGCTATACAACGGCGGTGAATCAGAATGTGCACCTAATAAAAATTTTGACTAAATCTTTTTATGCAAATTATAATAATTCTTAATATATTACTCTATAATTACTTTCTTTTATGAAAAACAATTGTTATAATCATTTAAAACTAAAGAATATTAATCAAATTAACCATGCCTATCTCTAAGCCCTGATTTTGTCTTCACACTAAACGCACAGACACACCGTCTTCTTCACTGTTCTTCGTGTTGGGTTTCATCATAGGCCTTCTTTCTATAAAGGCAGTAAGGCACCGATTTTTTTTTTTTTTGAAGGGAATAAAGGCACTGATTTAATTTGTAGATCTTTTGTGCTGCAAGCTTGCAAGGTTTCTACTCCTCATCGTATTCCAATTTCCATGCAAACTAAACTTCTTAATGTTCCTTCTTATCCATGTCATCTGTTTATTATCTTAAAAGCATATGAAAAAACTCAACACTACGTCACTACCAATTATCAAGTGGCGCGTTCTGATTCACCCACCGTTGTATAGCACCTATACATCGGCGGTGCATCAAATATTTTCTCTTCTAAATAATAGAGAAATACTATGTTAACTCTCACGGAAAGTTTGGACCACTGATTAAAGATACAAGGCATAATTTAATTCAAGCTCAAACTCCAATTTTTTTCCTAGTGGTACAATCAAGATTTTTCAAGTTGCATTTCAACTATAATTCCTTATGATGCTAACATCTTTAGCCTAAATTGTTGCAAATTGAACCAGTTTTCTGTAAAATGAATACATATAAGAATTCATAAAATTTAACTTAAGTGCAAGCTTTACAGCTAAATTAAATTATATTGACTTAAAACTCAAATTATTATAGCTAAAAACTAAGTTGTTATTAAAAAGAAAAGCATTTACCATAAGGTAAATCGTTCTTATCTCAGTTGTTCTTACGGCAATCGTGCCACCAGCACTCGTTGTCGGCGTCATTAATAGCTTCCTGAAAACTGTTGTTTAGGAACTCCGACGGTCCTAACACCAAAAATAGTTTCGAAACACAAAATCAAAACTTAAGTTGGATTAAGCACAAATGGCAAAAAAAAAAAAATATTTCAGCTTCAATAGACCAACACAAATCTTACTTTGGAAAATACGTCGAGAGCAGGGGAGGGAGGAAGACGAAGAAGGGTTAGGGTCGAAAAGAGGCTTGTATCGGTTCTGGGGAATGTCATCGTCATCTTCGTCCTTGGACTTGTCGTAGCCGATTTGCTCTTCTCCTTCTCCGGTGTCGCTTTCTTATTCCTTGGCAGCGGGAGTAGCTTTGCAAGAGAGTCAGAGATCTAGTTTCAGCTACTCCGATTGTCAACGGGATAAATATTGTTCTTGTAGGGTTTTTCACTGCCCAATATACTCAATGGCAAACTTGAAATTTGTTTAAAAATTGAGGGCAATTGGAACAAAAAAATAAATCTAAATGTTAGATAAAAAATTGCAGCCACATGATTTAAGATCAATTGCTAGTAGGGGTGCCATTTTTGAGGGGTAATTGGCAAACTCCCAAATATAGATATAGGGAGTTATACTAGTGTGTTTTAGTGTTAAAAATTTATGAAGTTTTTAGACTTGATTTTTAAACTGTCAAAAGTTTTTTTGTTGGATTCAGACCTATGTTAAAATGTAATTAAATTTTTAAAAAATATAAGATGTAAGTATCTTGATTAGTTTATATACATTATGTATGTATATATGTATATGTATATATGCAAAAGAATAGTTAACTATTTAAAAAAAAAACATTTTTACCTGTTTTTTTTTCTCTGTTTTTGTGTCTCTACTTATACTGATTTTGTCCATTAATGATAATATTGTGATATTTTTTTAGAAAACTTGCATGCAAATGGTGTAAATATTAGATTTTCCAGTCCAAATCATAAGTTAGGACTGCAACTAATGTGGATGGTAAGTGTGGACTGCAACTTGAGAAATGAGAAACAAATTGACAATTATAAGTAACATGTACACATTGACAATGCCATGGTACAAATTACAGAAACAAATTGACAATTGAGGATTCAGCCTTTTGGGGTAAGAAACAAATTGACAATGCCATGGTACAATTACACAATACCCAAGACATACATGTAGGAATACCTTTCCCATACACTTATACCTATACCTAAGCATTTAATGTGGATGGTAAGTGTTGACTATTATATACTAATGTTTGATTGAGACTTCTTAGCATGTGTACTACTTGGTATCTCTATATATACTTCATTTAAGAATGCAACATGTACACTATATATTCATTCCAAAAGAGAACTTCTGCAAGTTTTTAGCTAACAATTACAACAATGAAAAAATTGAATAGCTCAATTATCATTTGTGGAAAAAGAAAGCTTGATGTTGAAGATAAAGGTAAAAATGAAACATACCTGTTGTTCTTCATTAAAATTGTAACAAATGCTAACTTACTTTTTTGGTTTGCAATACTCATCTTCTTTGCTTTCCATTTGTGTACTATATCTGCACCAATTTGGCTCCCTTTTATCTGTTTTTTGGTCTGTGTATTGAGAGAGTGTAAATGCAGCACTCTCATGTACACCTGCAAATGAATAGTATACATATTATAATTTTTTTTAATTTATTAGGTTGGCAAGTAATTACATAATACCCAGAAAATCGCATGAACAAAAAAAAAGTTGTAAATTCTAACAAAGTCTCTACTACTAGAAGCTCTATCCCACATTTAGACCACACTCAAATATTTTTGAATTCAAATTCTTTTATTTGCTTAATCATAAAAAAAAAAAAAAAATACATCCTGGCAAATGGGTACAACACAAATTTATTTTCCTAATAAATCTGAAAGTAAAAAAAAAAAAAAAAAAATTAGATACAGATATATAGTTTTGAGGTAAGAGACTACTGACCTTTATCGTATTAGTGTTTGGGCCTTTAAATCCAATTTTATGAACTACGAAATCTGTATGCATGTATATCTACCGTGCTTATTTGTGCTTTTTCGTTTGATGCTGGTCACTGTGGTCAGATGTAGATAGATCTGTAAACAAAGAATTAGGGTTTATGATTAACGAATTTAAATGAAATTTTTTCTTGGTATGTAATTAAAACGTACCGTGAGAAAGAATCTTTATCTATATCCATGGAAGACGATGCTCCTTAATCAACACAGTCTAGGATTCAGATTGTACGGAATATTTAGAAGATGTTTTGGGATGGTGAAGCGAGGGAATTAGAAGAAGCTAGGTAGTCTTGGCGTTAAGGAGGAGACTGAAAGACAGGCATGCATATGGTAGATTTAGGGTTTGATTTTTGTTTATATATATGGACTGATATGGATTTGGGTTGGGGTTTGTTTTAGGCTTCTGAGTTGGGTTAAATAAACAAAAAAAAATTATATATTTAAATACATGTATATTTTGGGCTAGATTTTTTTTTTTTAAAGTAAATTATATTATATTTTAAATGTTATGATTTTTTTATCATTTTTTTTGGTTAGAATGAACATGTAAACAAATTATCTTTCTAATGCTATGATTTTTTATCATTTATTTATAGCTTGGAATGAAAATGCTAAGTACAATTTTTTAAAAAATTTATTTTAGTTAGTAAATTAATTTATGTTCAGTTGATGTAGAAAATATTCATGATCAAGTTGTGAAGATCGTGGTTTGAATGGATCTAATTTGTGGTGGGAATCATTTGTATTTTTTAGTGTTTTACAGAAATAGTTAGTTTGGATTATGAAATTTTTTTTTTTTTTTTTGGTTAGATTTGAAATTTATAAATATATTTCATTTGTATGGAAGTATTCTTTAGTGTTTGTATACATTTCATATATAATTTTTTGTGCAAAGTACTGAATTGTATGAATATAAAAATGCATGATTTGTATTTAAAAAAAATACTATATACAAAATTATTCATTCTACTATTTAAATATGCTATCTTTTTTTTTTTGAGAATTAATTTTAATTCATTTTGTTTCTTTACAAATTCAGAAAAGGTTCGACCTGATTGTCTTGAGATTAGGTCCCATTTGATTTCAAATGTTGCTCAAAGTTTGGATATTATCAATTGTTATTTTACTATTAATACGAAATAATGGCCACAATGAGAATGAGCATTTGTTTCCTTATATTATTCTACTATTGTCGTTTTTCAATAGTAGGGAATACCCCGACCGACATGCCTTTGTCCTTTTTCTTATTGTTTTGCAGGTAATAGGTCGGACCTTTTCTAGAAGAACCCGGTCGGCTCTCGACCGGCGTCGTCGACCCCGAGCGGTAGCCCTTAGGCGAGAGTGCTGAGAAAAGACACGTGGCAGCGCCAGGCGTTGACAGGCAGGGCACTCGGGAGGATGACACATGGTTGCTACGTGGGAGGCATGCCGGACGGCCGGACTTATGTCTCCGGCTCCGCGGCTATAAATACCCGTCGACGTAACAGTGTAAAGGACTTTTGGACGATCGATAGGTTGTTATCAGAGACTCCCGACCGCAGTCAGTCGGTACTTGGAACAGCCAGTTAGATTGTACTTAGGACCTTTACGTGATCAATAAAATCCTTTTACTTGCTTTAATTGGTATCGTATTACTGTTTAATTACCGCACACGTGGAATTAACACTATCATTTTGGCGCCGTCTGTGGGGACCCGTGCAACAAACCTAAGCCTACCGAGCACCGGTTCTTTCCTCTCACAATGTTTCCGTTCATGCAGAACCTCAACGACTACGACCAGGCTGACGCAGCTAACGACAACCAGGGTCAAGACGTCGATCTCAATCTCAACCTTTCACCACCACATCCGCCAGTTCACCACCCAGCAGTCCAGCACCAGGTGCAGTACGTTCAGCCGGCATACCCGATGCCCGGCCAACCGGGATATCCCACTCCCGGTCAGCAGTACCCCTATCCCGGGCAGTATCCATATCCTACGCCTCCTCAGCCTTATGGATATTGGCCCGGCCAACCGATGCATTATCCATCCCCAGCCGTATATCCACCGTTTATGCCTGCGTACACGGCTCCATCCGCCGCCCCGCCAGTATACCCGACCGTTCATGTAGAGCCGGAGCATCAGCCCACTTCCCGGGCTCGACGCTCGGCTCGTTCGCGGTTGGGTTCGGGGGGTGCTGAAGCGATAGAGGTACCACGGCAGGCTCCACAAGCAGAACCGGAGGTTCCCGCCCGAGCGGAAGACCCCGAAGAGATTGAGCGGGAAGTAGCTTTTGATCATCTTCAACCGGCGATGCGACAACGTTTGGAGCCGGGCTCGAGCCGGCGAACAGAAGACATGCTGATGCAGGACGTCAGCCAGGAGGCTTCGTCTGGGCATAGCGGGTCAAGATCTCACCGTCGACGACGCGCTCGGGAAGCAAACCAGGCTCAGATGGCTGAGCTCAACGAGACCCGAGGATTGCTCTACAACCTCCAAGCGGAGTTTGCTCAGTTCAGGAACGAGCATCCCATCAGGCCCCCGGTCGACCAGTCGTCCTTGTTGAGAACGCCCTTTACAGCGGAGATAATGGCCCAGCCATTCCCGCTCGACTTAAAGGTCTCCGGGGAGAAGAGTTATGATGGCCGTACGGACCCTGAGGTCCATGTCAACGATTTCTACGGCAACATGATGTTAAAGGGCGTGTCAGACGCCGTGATGTGTAGAGCTTTCTATTCCATGCTCACCGGTCGGGCGGCGGAATGGTTCCGAACATTGCAGCCAGGCTCCATCGCTGATTTCAACACCCTGGCGATCAGGTTCGTGAGAAAGTTCATCACCTCCAAAGTGGTGAGGAAGCCCTACATGTATTTAGAAAAAGCCAAGCAGCTTGAAGGGGATAGCTTGACCGATTTTCTAGTCAAGTGGAAGGCCGCAGTGGCGGAGGTGGAGCCCATGGATGATCTCACAGCCATCCACATGCTCCATATAGCCTTCTGTGCCGGCTATCTTTATCAAGACTTCATTCTTCACCCCCCCCCCCCACCACGTATGAGGAGGCCCTCAGAAGGGTCACGGATTATGCCAATGCCGGCGAGACCAATGCAGTGAAACGCTCGTAGGAGGTCGGGACGTCGTCTCGTAAACCGGCCGGCCGGGCGGATCATCGGTCGGGTGATGACCATCCCCAATCCCGCACCAGGCCAGGTGAGTTTACGGCGCTCAACCGATCCACGGCAGAGGCCATGCAGTACGCGCAGTCCTGCAATTTGATTAAACTCCCCCATCCCGGGCAAGATGGTTCTGACAAGACCAAACACTGTGCATATCATCGTTGGCCAGTCATGACACCGAGGAGTGTACCCACTTGCGCCAATTGCTAGAAGATTTGCTCAACCTCGGCAAGTTGGACAAGTGTGTGGGGAAAAGAGAAGAGACGAAGAAAAACACCGATCGGAGAGACAAACGGCGTTCTCATCACCGTTCCGATCGCTCTGATCGTGATGGACGCTCCGATCGGTCGGGGTCCGAGAGGCGAGATGACCGAAGGGACCCCGATCCCCCATCAAGCAGTAGACCGGCAGGCAAGTTGACGATCCACGTCATTTTTGGTGGATTGGATGACGCCTCCCGACCGAGGGAGAACTGCCCGGTCGCCATAGTAGATTCCCGAGACACCGGGAAATGACAAAAAATGGAGCCCATAACCTTCTCTCTTGAAGATCAACCTAGCAGCGGTGACCACGGCATGGAGGCGCTCGTGTCACCATCGACTTCAACGGGACGGACGTTCAGAGGGTTATGGTGGACACTGGGAGCAGTGTCAACGTCTTTTATTTGGACGTGTTCGAGAAGTTGAAGCTGGACAGGCGCGAGCTGACCCCGGTCAGGATTTACCAGGGCCCTTATCTACCCCGAAGGAAAAATTATGCTCACAGTCGAGATCGGCACTCCACCGAAGTCGATCAAAACCGAGATGGAATTTGTGGTGGTCAACCTCCATTGCGTCCACAATATCATCTTGGGCCGCCCCGCCATCATGAAGATCGGTGGGATAATTTCAATGCCTCATCTTTGCATGAAATTTCCCACTCCAAATGGGGTCGGTGTTGTCCGGGGCCACGTTCAATCCGCCCGGAAGTGTTACACCCGTGCGGTCAACAGGCGTGACTCTGGCACGTCTTCCCGGGTGAACATGATCGTAAAGGAAGTCTCCAATGACCGGAAGGAGCAGCCCGAGCCTTCTGAGGAGATAGAAGAAGTTCCCCTGTCCGACGACCGACCGGACAAGAAGATTAAAATTGGCAGGGCCCTTACCCCCGAGCTCAGAACGGAAATACTGGCGATCTTACGGGAGTTCGCTGATATCTTCGCGTGGGGGCCCGAGGACATGCCCGGGATCGACCGGACGGTCATTTGCCACAAGCTAGCCGTCGATCCCGCAGCGAAGCCGGTCGTGCAGAAACCCGGCACCTTTCATCCGATCGCCGCGAGTTTGTTCGCGAGGAAGTCAAGATGATGGCGGCGATCGAGCACATCCGACCGGTCATCTATCCCGAATGGGTGGCTAACATCGTCCTTGTTCGTAAGCCCCCGGCGTGGAGGATGTGCATCGACTTCACGGATCTCAACAAAGCCTGCCCTCTCGACCCGTATCCACTACCAAGTATCCATCAAATGGTCGATGAGACGGCCGGGGCTGAGTTGATGAGTTTCATGGATGCATTCAAGGGATACCACCAAATAATGATGCACCATGAAGATGAAAGCAAAACAGCCTTCGTTACCCCGGACGGGCTGTATTGCTACCGAGTGATGCCGTTCGGCCTCCGCAACGTGGGAGCGACCTACCAGAGGATGGTCAATATGCTCTTCGCTGATCTTCTAGGCCGAACGATGGAAGCGTACATCGACGACATGCTGGTTAAGAGTCGGGACCGATCCGACCACACTCGAGATCTCCGGGAGTGTTTCCAGATCATGAGGAAGTATCAGTTGAGGCTGAACCCAACAAAGTGCACATTTGCGGTTTAGACCGGGAAGTTTCTCGGCTACATGATGACCAGAAGAGGGATCGAGCCCAACCCGGCCAAAGTTAAGGCAATCCTAGACATGCAACCACCTTCAACCGTTCGGGAAGTCCAGCAGTTGACCGGTCGGTTGGCAGCGCTTAGCCGGTTCCTCTCCAAATTAGCCGAGCGCGCTTTACCTTTCTTCAAGGTATTGTGCAAAGTTAACGGGTTCGTCTGGGATGACGAGTGCCGAGCGGCTTTCGACGAGCTGAAGGAGTATCTTATGTCACCAATTGTGTTGTCGAAGCCCGAGCTCGGAGAAGTGT